GAAACAACAAAACGTAAACCATAAACTTTTGTTAATGTTCGATAATCAACACCATCTTCACGATATTTTTGAGCAAAACTATATTAACAAAATAAATGAGAAAATAAAATATATATGAATTATTAGTACCGATAATTAATTCCTGGTGATTGTTTATCATCACCACTTTGTAAAAGAGAAAAATCATATTTTGGAGTACATTTTTTTGGATTAATATCAAAATTACATATCCAATCTTGACGAATTTCTATTAAACCACCCTGAAAATAAAAATAATATCATTTGAACATAAAAAAGATAAGATTTCATCATTTAATATTTTACTTCAAGTAGAAGTGCTGTTTTATTTGTATTTAATCGATCAAGAATATAACTAATAGGAATTAATGGACGATCAGAAGTTTTAGAAGTGCCATCAAATCGACATTTAAAATCTGTATCATCTTGAATATTTCGTCTATGAGAAAAAAAATTTAATTTATAAACTAAAACTAAATCAATAAACGAACAAATTCTTTTTTAGTAATGTAAATGATATCATTGTCTTTAGGAAAACGGTAAACTTTCTTAGATCATTTTCATTAATTTTATAATCTCTAAATCAAATAAGAAAACAAAATATTTTACGAGAAAAGAAAAAATAAATAATCTTTTTACATTGAATCAGATAGTTCTTCTGGACACCATCCATTCATTTCACAAACTTTGATTGCTTCATTTTCTTTACTTGGAACACAATTTCCAGTAAAAAAACCTTTTAATAGAACAAAAAATATTCGATTTTCTTCTTTAAAGATGAAATAAAATTTTACCAAAAGTACTTGATGTTGGTTCATCTGTTTTACATAATGTTTTATTTTGATCGTTACAAAATGATTTATCGGCTAAAGCCTATTTTAAAATATAAATTAAATTTTTAACAAAAAACAAAAGAAGTGAAATCTCTTACAGTTGGACATGTGCTTTGTGTTTGATTATAAGTTATTGTTTGACGTGTTGCAATAAAAAATACATTATTTTCCTAAATATTGATTTGATTAAATAATTTAATTAACATACAAGTGGTGGAACTTCATATTCAGGTGTATCCCATATATATTTCTTTGTATCACCTATAACAAGTATTTTTTTTCGTGAGTTTAAAAAACGAATTAAATGATATTTACTTGTATAAAAAAATGTATTATTTCCATC